AATTACCTGAAACACCTAGAAGGGCTTTTCTCTTTGTGGCTGAATTTTGACTGGGGGACATAAGATCTGTCCATGGCATTAGTACTAACTTCTGGCAACTTCTGTGCCTTTCACTCTACCTCTGTTCCTTCATCCTTTGGATGCACTGTGTGGAACCAAGGGGTGAAGAGACACACAGTTTCTCCCTATGACTCAAGACAGACCTCCAAAACTGTACCTTGGAAAAAATAGACAGCAGAATGAGCAGGAGGCAGTGGGACCAGAAAAGGGGAAGATTAAAAGCAGGTTTACTGAGGAAGACTACCAGGGTAGCCATAGATGGAGAGCTGAGGAAAATGCTGAGAAGAACAAAGCTGAGCTCTTCTTTGCCAGCCATTCATGTGTATATTTGCATCAGGTTAGCAGAGTGGAGTCATTTCTCAGGCACCAAAGTAAGGGTGTGCATGCTTCATCTCTCACCTGGATCAATGCACTAGTTTCCTAACTAGTTTCCTGGATTCCACCCTCATTCTTCTAGGTCTGTTCTAACCCAGCAGCCTGAGTGATGCTATTCAAGTGTGAGTCAGAGCATGCCACTCCTCTGTTCTCATATTCTTGACCTCATTTCCTCCACTCTGTCCCCACCCTCAGTCAGTTCAGTCAGATACACTGTTCCTCAAACATTCTAGACCTCTTCCTGCCTCAGGGACTCTGCATAGGCTGTTCCCTTTGCGTGGAAGGTGGTGCCTCTGGATGTCTAACAGCTGTTGTCATGTAACCAGCAAGTCACCTCCTCACCAAGTCACCGCTCAGGCTCCTCTGGTTACTCCATCTAAATGGCAACTTTCACAGTGCTCCCTTGCCCCTTTCCCTTCTAACATAAAATACAATCTAGTTATTTTGTTGTCTGTCCTCCTCCACTAGACTATAAGCTCTGTGGAAGGGCAAAGATGTTTGTTCATTGCTCTCTCCCTCTTCAAGAAAGATATCTGGCACATCATTGACAGAATTTGATGACAGAATTATTGCTGATAGTGCTACTACTAAGCGCATTCTACAGATGATAAAACTAGTGCTTACAAGGGTAAAGTAACTTGGCCAAGCTCACAGGGCACAGTGAAAGAGCAAGTGTTGAAACCAGTCATGTCTGTCTCTAAACTGTGCTCAGAACTACTCCCCACATAATACGGTCTTCCTTTTGTGATTAGCTGCTGAACTCAGTATAAGGAAACACATCTCACATTAGCCTTTCTTTATGATTAACTAGACCACTAGGCCTTCAGCTGATTTCCTGCAAGTGTTTATTGACAAAAAAAGGACAGAAAAGAAAATCATCATGCATGCACTATGTGTGGAAGTGAAAGAACAATTTTAAGTCTGTTAGGTTAAAATAGGAACATGAACTTGTTGAGGTCAAACTCACCTGGGGAGTCTTGATTAGAGAAGGGGCTGCCTCCTCACAACAGGGTCACCTGTAGGTACCAGCAATGCAAGGGAATCAAAGTAGTAAGAAAAATGTTATATGGTTAACACTTTAGCTATTTGACAGTTTTCAAAAGCATGTAAAAGGTGCTATTTTAGGAAAAGCCAGAACTTCGCTGAATTTTATTTTGATATTAAGTTACATGTGGGGACCATTATCAACTTTTTGTTGCAGAGTCTACAAAGGTTTTCATCTGTAGCTGCTGATCCTAATTGATGGGATCTGTGAATTCATCAATGTATCAGTTACTTTAAAAAATGGGATGTGTGGCCCTCCCTGGTGGTGCAGTGGGTTAAAGCACTGCACTAAGAAGCTGAACCCGATTCCCGCCTGCCCCAGAGGTGACCACATGGTGTGGCAGACCTCTCCTGGCCCGCCTGCTGCTCTCCTCAGCAGTGTACTTCGTCGATCTGCCTGTTCTGCTCCCCACTCTATCTCTGGTGAATCCTCTCACCGCTCTGCACCTCTGGCCTGTACCCCAGTTCTGTATACATAAATAAATAAATCTTTAAAAAAAAAAAAAGGGATGTGTGTGTATGTGTGGTTTGCAGGATGTAATGAGATGCCAATGAGGTAAGGATAGTTGTTTTGTAAATCCTTGCAGAATAATGGTAGTGTTTTGGGGAAGGTCGGTTTAATGCTGTTATTTTAAAATTGGAATTAGAGGTCTGAAGAGCCTTAACCTTCCTTCTACACTTTCTCTGGTATCACCTTTGTGAAGCCTTCTTTCTGAGTTCTCCTCCACCAGCAATTATTCACTTCCTCTTCTATTCTGCAGATAGTACTACTACATTTAATCTATTGCATCATAGTCATTTGTGTTCCTTTCTGATTCCTCATGAGACTCAGAACTCGTGGAAAGACCTGGTATATTGGTTATTGTATCTTGTTCACCTATATATTGCCTACAGGGCCTGAAATTTACTGAAGGTTTCCAATATTTTGCTAAAGGCAAGTAACACCAGATTTTCGAGGCTGAAGGAGTTTCTGTGGAAAAGATGTTCTTTGGTGAATTTCTCTGTAGTCAAGCCAAGTACCCAGCACTATGTCCAAATGGGTCACATTGGAAAGTTGCTTTCAATGCTACTCTTTTCTCATCTTTTCTGCTGGACTGTTCAGTAATTGAAGCAGGAAGAAGAGACATTGGTGCTAAACTACTTTTCACCCTTCTCTCCCGCCACTCCCCAAACCCCCAAATGACATAAGATTGGCTTGAGATCCTTTGCGCTGCCGGAACCATCATTTCCCTTCTCTGCCTTTTGAGCTCTTATTCTGTAAAAAACAGTGTTGAATTAGAAAACCTGTTTTCCCTCTAGGTCCTAAATGTATGAGCCTTTGAACCAATTTGTCAGTAATAATCTGTCTGTAACCCTGAACAGGCCTGCTTCCCTGGGAATAAGACCTGTTCCCACATCAGTCACCCTTGACCTGACCTCACGAGGTGTCTTGCCTTCTGTGGAGCGCTCATTTCTCTTGCACCACACTTGCCTTCTGCTGCTCGCCTGTGCTCTCTACCACCCCTTTGATTCTGTGGATCAATCCTGCTTTCCTTGGCATTTTTAACCAGATCTCTATAAAATGATATGCTAAATTTAGAACACTAAATATATCATGATGCTATTTATGTATTTTATTTTAAACCACATAAGCTGGTCTTTGTCTGTTTGTTCCCAGATCTATGTTCTACCACCCTCTGTTCCCGGCTTTGCATTGCAGGCAGCTACATTTTCTTAGTCTCTCTTGCAGACCCAGTCAAAGAAAGCTGGTGATGGAAGACTGAAGAATGAGAGGAGGGAAGAATTCAGGTTATTTCTACGTTTTTGTGTTTCAGATGCTGTCTGGTAGCATCTTGTCGCTGTCCCCAGCCCCTGCTGTGTCTATACCCTTTTCCCATTGTTCCAGCTATAGCTTGCAAGTACTGCCCTGGTTCCAGATTCTTCTAGGAGTGTGTGCGTTGGAGTGGGGTTGGGGGTGGGGAGGGTTCCATTATATAATGAGATGAAAATGAAGCAAAAATAGTTGTTTGTAAATCCTTGTCAAATAATAGTGGTGCCTTAAACCTTTACTTCTCTTGCCCCGGGGTTGATAGTGGCTCCATGCTTTTCTCTGACCTTTCAACTTCCCCATCATCTTTATTAAATTCTTTCTGTATGCAATATCTAGTGTGGCTTCTTCCTTTTGATTGGAATCTTACTAAAATGCCCTGAGTATATGTGCACATCATGTGTATGCATAAAAATATGAATAATTATGTGAATATATGTATATGAAAATACATGTGTGCTTATGAAGACACACAGATGACCTGGAGGTTTGCTTATGAAACTGTTTCCAGTGGTTTATGACTGGGAAAGCAATGGGTCTGGGTGGGCGCCTAATTGCCTGGGGCCAGGGGAACTTTTTAAAAATAGCTTCATTGTGGCATAATTTATATGTCCGACTGTAATTTCCTATGTACATATGTGTTATTTTCATTTCTGACAAGGAACATGTCATCACATGTTGCTTACATTATAAAATAAGTAATTAAAAAATTAATAGCAGGAGTTGGATGAAAGAGACAACACACCAAGTCTGTTAGCCAATGCCTAAGCCATCTGGGGGAAAACTCTGCAGGTGGCAATATATTTATGCATTGAACAAATATTTTTATTTACAGTGTCAGGCACTGAGGGTCCATCAGTGAACTATGGGCAAGAATCCTGCTCATATTACATGCAACAATTAAACACACAGTTATGTCTCAATTAATTAAAGTATTATGAAGAAGCAAAAAGGGCAGTGAAAGGCTTAACCTAATCAGAGGAGGCTTTCCTGAGGAAATGACTTACTGCTGAGAACAGAAAGATGAGCAGATAAAGCCAAGTAGAGGTGGTCAAGCTGGGAAGCCACTGATTGCTTTGCTGGTTCCTGTTCACAGGGAAGCTGCTCTAATAAGAGTTCGCTACAGGGGTCTCCTTGTAACTTCTGGCTGAATGCCAGCTGACTGAAAGTGTGCAGAGAATCTGTGGACTTGGTCTTCTGGTGTCATAGCCATGCCTTCTACAGTGTTGAACTCTTGGTCCACACCCCCAGGGGCTCTCACCAGGAAGAGAGGAAGACAGTGTTTGGGTTCCTGTGCTTGTTGACAAGGCTGGATTGGAAGTGACTTAAAAGCTGAGACTATCAGCAGTGGTACCAAACTCATGTTCACAACCACTGCTTTGATGGGACTAATTGACATTTTCTGTCTTAGAGTGGCTACAAATGCCCAAGACAAGCCCTTCAGCTGCCTTCCATCCATATTTCCTTTCCTAACTCTTGAAATGAAATGCTGGAAACTTGTGGAAAAACTATACCTGAAGTTTCAGTCTTCTTAAGCTCTGTATTTTTCTCTTCTTGCTTATGCTAACTCAATTTTTTTCTCCTACTATGTCTCAGTCTTTCTAATTCCTTGACATTTTGGCAATGGCTATAGTCCTCTTGTTTTACTATAAATCATCATTCTCCTTTTATTGTAAGCCCTCAATTATTCTGTGAAATTAGGTTACTTATAAAGTAGTCCATTAATTATGGTTTAGTTACAGCATGTCCAGGTCTCCTAGACTATATAAAATCAGGTTATGTTTCCTTCTGATGTCTCTAAATTACAAAGGTAATAACAGGATCTTAACTTGACCTTAGTGGCCTCCAGCTATTTCTGGGCATCTTCCACAGGTTGCATCAACCAGTTGCCACCTGCCACAGAGCCACCTGCTCCTTTCTCTCTTGGTCTGATTCTTCCAGGTCTGCTTCCTGATGGACCCACTTGGAAAACAGCAGAGCTGTCACTGAACATCCTGAAAACAGTCGAATCCAGATTCCCTCCTGGGGCTGGAGTATGGAGTGGAATTTGCAAGCAAGCAGAGAAAATGGCCTCTTCCTTTCTCTTCCTTCTATCTACACTTGAAGCAATGGTGCTTGGGACTGAGGACCATAAAAGATTTTTGTGAGTAGTGTTTCCGCTCTCTGATGTTCACCTATCTAGTAATCAGGGCTTAACCCCAAATCCAACAAGCTAGGTAGACTAGAATCTATATACCATCCCTCAGAGCTTTTCGTTCTTAGTCATCTGAGTCATACAGCAACTACGCTTGGGTCCACTCTCCAAGTCACAAAACAAAAGTTTCCAACCATAACAAGAGACAAAAACAGATTCTGCAGTGGTTGTAGGGTTGGTCTTGTGCTGACCTATGGCAAGAGTTTAAAATTAGACTCCGCTGGCCAAAGTATAGTTTATGTAATATTAAAAGTTTCATTTTACTTTACTAACTGAAAGACCTTGTTTTAATGGATTCTGAAAAGGAAGACCTATATCACAAGGTCTTCCTCAAAAAAGACTGAACATATGTGCACATTTCTGTTAAGTAACTCACAACAATGACATCAATAAGAACTTGTTATCATGAGAACTGAGCAAGAGTTCCTTTTCAGTTCTCATAGGGTGTGTAGCTGCGGTTTAAGAGCAAAGCCTGTGGTCTAGCAATGTTCTTGCCTCTCTGAGGCCCCATTTCACTTTAAGATAGTGCTTCCACTATTTCCTGGAGAAACTAATGAAATAGAATGAGTCGGAGAGAGACATAATCCCTCAAAAATTTCATTCTTTTACATAACATTGTATCCCCTCGTGGTAAACACTGGGAAATTAAAAATGAAAAACTTAAAACATTCTCTTTAGAAGCTTACACTTTAAAAAAAATTATTTAGTTGAGGGTATTATGGTCAGTGATACAAGTCAAAGACAAATATCATGTGGCCTCACATGTAGGATCTAAAATAATCTGAACTCATAGAAACAGAGAACAGATTGGTGATTACCAGGGGTGAAGGGTGAGTGTGGGGTAGGGGAAGTGAATGAAGGCAGTCAAAGGCACACATGTACGTAAAAAGAATTCCACTGTGAGAGGAATACATTCTGGGAGTGTAGTGTGCAGCTTGACTTGAGTTAACAGTGCTATATGTATGTTTCAAAGTTGCTAAGAGTAGATTTTAAAAGTTCCTACCACACACAAAATTATAAATGTGTGACATTGCAAGCGTATTAACTAACCTTATAATAATAGTTGTGTAATTATTACATGTGCATTTTAAACTTACATGGTGCCACACGCTAATTAAATCTCAATGAAGCTGGAAAAAAAACAGACTTTTTAAGAGCCAAGCTTTGTTTAATTTATACTTAATATGTATTCTCTCACTTAATTCTCACATAAGGCAAAAGCCTGCTATTCATTTCATTTAACTAATAGACTTCATTTTATGAAGAGGGAAGTGGAGTGACTTGCTCAAGGACCTGGTTGAACTGGGATTCAGACCCAGAGAGCCACAGTCCACAGACTTTGCCCTCAAATAGTGCACTGTCTCTTTAGCCCATTGTCATTAAAAAGCCTAGGACTGTGTCAGTCAGGTAATCAGATTCTTCTCAATACATTTTTGACTGGAACATAGTGAGTCTGTAAGCTGGTGGGGAATGGTTTCTTCACTGGCAGGCAAGATATCTAAGAGTAGTCTCATCAAATAACCACACTCCAGTTTTCTGAGCAGACATTTGGATTAAAATGCTATAAAACTTTTAAATCCTGAAGAGGTAGTGAAATCTTCAAATAATTATTACTGAACGGATTTATAACCATTAGGATATGATTATAGAAACTTAGAGGAAGTTTTTACTAGATGTTTAAGCTATATAAGCAGTGAGAAAACAACTCTTGTTTAAGTCATTGGTCTCTGGTGCTTTTTTTAAAATGATAACCCAAGTCAACTAAAACACTTTGTATGATTGTTTAAAAAAATTAGTAAGTCAAATCCACATAAAGAGCTTCTCCCACAGTGCCTGGTGCACAGGAAGCTTTGCATAAGGGTTAACTGACATGGCTGACCTCAGATCTGTGAACCTGGGTTTTAAGAACCAGTGATGTTGTCCACAGATGTGACATTATAACTGTATGGGTATGATGGCTTTTGAAAAACACATTCCAGAAGCCAATTTTAATTTAGTGAAGTGGGAAGACATTTATCTTTTAAAATGAACTCAGCCAGGCACAAGTAAACATGTCTATCTAGAGCTCAACTCATGGTATCTCATGTCTTCTTGCCTTCCTCTACCTTTCCACAAAAGTTTAGATTCATGTTAGTTTAATAAGTCTTCCACACCTCAGCCTCACCCCCAATAAAACTTCAAACCAATAATAAGTATATTCTAATGGGTTTCTAGAGAAAGAGAAAATGGAACAAGAAATACCTGTATAGACAAAGGAAAATAGAAAACATAAATGATGGTTGTAATTGTAGGAGTTCCAATATAAATGGTATTTAATCAAAGTCTAATTTTAAAATAATAGAAACTAGAATATTTAAAAGTTAATTTTTAAAAAAGATTTCATTCATTTATACATACGGAGCTCGGGCACAGGCCAGAGAGCAGGGGCAGTGAGAGGTTTCACCAGGCACAGAGTGTGGAGCAGAAGTAAACATGTCAGATCCCGGAATTCCCTTTTTTTTTTTTAAAGATTTATTTATTTGTACAGAACTGGGGTACAGGCCAGAGATGCGGAGGGTACGAGGATTCACCAGAGACACAGTGGGGTACAGAACAGGCAGATGACGAAGTACACTGCTGAGGGGAGCAGCGGGCGGGTCAGGAGAGGTCTGCCGCGCCATGTGGATCTCCTCCAGGGCAGGCAGGGATCGAACTCATGCGGAAGTGGCTTAAGCTTCTTTTTGCTGTGCTTTTAACCCGCTGCGCCACCAGGGAGGGCCACGAAACACACTCTTGAGGGGAGCAGCGAGTGAGACAGGAGAAGTCTGCTGTGCCTTGTGGATCACCTCTGGGGCCAGGGATCCAACTCACACTGAAGCAGCTGCGATAGCTTGCAAGGCTGCGTCTTACCCTGTTGCACCACCAAAAAAGGGCCTAAATGTTAATTTTTAAACTTTTTACCTTTTAATGTAGTAAATTTACATATATAATGATCATTTAGGCAATGTTATGTGAGTCAGCCTAAGATAGAAGAATTATTTTTTGTGAAGGGCCAGAGAACCACGTGAAAAAGAAATAATTGCTTTAATTATTATACTTTCAATTCCCAAGCATCATCTTTATGAGGGAGGAAGAAGAGAAAAAGGGAACAACAAGAAGTAGAGAAGAAGGGAAAAGGATACAAGGAATGGAAATAAGAAGAAAAGGAAGCAATCACAGGGAGCAAGGACATTTAAAAAAATTTCTATAGGTTTTGAGGAGGCTGTTGTCAAAATTATTTGTAAAGTTACTGGGGAGAAGTGACCCACGGTTTCTTCATCGTTCTGAAATGTAGATGAGCTCATTAGCCAGGCTTCACTTAGCTTTCATGCTTAGCCCTTGAGATAATAATGCTTGGCCTACAGGACAACAGACCTCCAGGTTTGGAGATGTATTGATAGCACTTTATCAACTTTTAGCAGTAGTTTAGACAAATGAACAACCCACCTCCTGTTACTCAAATGCAGAGGTGGCCTTTCTTGTCCACCATTTGGATAAAAGACCATACATGTGGAGAGCATGACAGACACAGGGAATGACCAAGAGGTAGCTTTGGCTCCCTTCTGATCTTTAAGGGATGTACCCATCATAATGAGTCTTTGTTTGGATAGTAAGTTCCAAGTTAAAGGAAAAAAAAAGAGAGAGAGAGAATGGGACACTTAATCTATAGTGGATACCCACTGATATTCAAATTATGTTTGGATAGAGCTATCTACTCTTTAAGACATTCTCTAGGCTTGCCCTTTATCTTTCCTTTGTACATGGTTAGAGTGAGAATGACCTGGTCTACAGACTTCTTGGTGTCATCAGTCTGGGTTTAAATATCAGCCCTTTACAGGGATTGCATGGGAAAGCCAATTGTCCAATACCTGAAGACCTTGGGTTTTGGGAGGGAGAAAGAAACTTGTTTTGTGAAAAGTCTGGGTGCAACTTTTCATATTCCTGCTGGAAATGAAAGGTCCGAGTCCCAGCTGGATTATTATCCAGGCAAACAATAATGAGCCACTATGTCAGTTTTTTACAGCCCTGATCATGGCACCAAGAATCTTACTCATCTTTATATCCCCAGCCCTTTGCACAGAGCCTGTCATATGATAGGCACAGGAGCAATGTCTGATAATTTAATGAATTCATGCATTTTTGTACTGATTAAAAACCAACTGATTTTTTTCTGCTAATGAAATTAGAGGAAGGCCAGTAAGAACTATTGTTTACATTTTTTGATTCTGTAGGTGTTTGTGTGCATGTTCTGTTTCTACTTTGGTAGAACCCTCCCTTAAGAATTCACAACTATATGAGAAAGCATTTTAACTCAAACAAGATCTACTTATACTGATATTCTGCCATTTCTTTGTAGTTCTGACAAGTCAAGTCAGTGTGTGTTTGGAATCTGGGACACTCAGCAAAGGAAGGGTAGGCAGGTGGCAGCAGCTCTGGAATGTCCTATGGCCACTCCTCAAACAAGCATTTAAATCTCAGCACTTTGAATCTGATGCAGAGTTTAATGGGAAGTTAGCCACTATCTGCAAATTTCTATGAAAACTATTTAAAAATTTAGATCCTATAAGCAGTTTCTCTCTGACCATCTTTTCTCACTCATCACCACTAAAAATCCTTTTAAGTGTGGTTCCCTCCACAGAACCCCTATTTGAAAAATATTGTTCATATGCAAATATATTTGTTAAAGAATAATGAATTTATCTCCCCAAGCTGAAACCATGGAGTCAAGATTTTTTTCCTACCTAAAAATCATCTATGAAGTTTTATTGTGAGAAAACCAACAATTCTGCTTTAACTTCATAAAAATCTGAAAATAGTTGGAGAATGGCTCTCCCCTTTCAGATGGTGGCTATGATTTTCCTAAAGTGCTAAGTTTTGAAAGTAGTGCTTCGAGGGCACCAAAAGCATAGATTAGCAGGGGCCTGTGACTTCTCTTAGGCCTTCCGTTATCAACTTACCCTCCTTCCTAGCAATGGTGGGAGACTGAAGGAGATAGTCCTGCCTCACACTTTCCCTGTGTAGGGACCTGTTGCATGATGAGAGTCCTATCTGCTAAACAAGCAGATGCTTAACTTTATCCATCTGTAACATGCCATCTTAAGAGAATACCCACCAAGCCAGCTGGTATCTCCAGTGCTTCTCACCCGAGGAGCTGTCTCTTTGAGATGTGGAACAAGTCACCTGTATCTTCCAGATAAACCTCTTCACCATGGCTTGTCTTGACTACTGATATGAAGTTGCTACTGTAGGATGATGAAAACTTCTCAAGCAAGCGATAAGGAATACTTCTGTGAATTTTGTAAATTGTGAGTACTTTTTGGGGAAAGATTAGAGCTTGGAAATCTGACGTTGGCTGGTGTAAGAATCTGGTACTTCTTTATTTCCCATCAGGTTCTCAGTATTCCAGGAAGCAGTTTGCTCAAGTTTCCTTTCTCCATTTAGCTCTCCTGAATGCCCAGCTTCAGAGCCTGGGCAGTGCTGCCAAGGATCCTGCTGGCACATTCAGCTGCCATTCAAGGAAACAGCCCTCCACACCGCCTCACACATGGAAGTCTGTCTTACAGCATAAAACAGGTGGAAGGACATTTTGCCTTTAGAGCTCTGCTGGCATGTCTTGCGAATTTTATTGCCCAATGTCAGGAATGACAAAAATCTTTTGTGTATGTTTGAGGGCGGGAAAGACCAGATATTTCTGTGAATTTAACTGGCTATTCAGACAAGATTCCCAGGGCAGCTGTTATAACTGAGACAATAATCGCTTTAATACTTGGCTCTTTTTCTAGGATGGATTGATAGAAACTTTGGACAAATCATTTAAAAAATTATGCAGCCATAACACTGTTTGAATATATCATGGATTATCTTAAAGACCAAATATTTGCTAGTATCATAATAAAATAGTGTGATGAGTATATTAAGGTTGTGTTTATACTTCTATTTCCATTCTAAATATTTTTTGCTTTCTGTGAAGTCACTAATATTTGTGGCAAAATTTGAACTTACACAGATTTGCAATTTGTAGCTACAATTTTTGAATCTTTTTTTTTATATGCTGACAATCTTATTTACACAACAAATTAGTCAACTTTACATGGACTTACCAATTCTAACTTCTGAATTTTCCAATAATTTGTTCTCCGTCAAAGAATGTTTAATTTTTAGTATAGACACATACATGTACACACATAATTTTTTTGTATAAAAGAAAATGTCGGGCCCTCCCTGGTGGCGCAACGGGTTAGGATGCAGCACTGCATGCTAGCCCAGTGCTTCAGTGTGAGTTAGATCCCTGGCCTGGGAGATGATCCACATGGCAAGGCAGACCTATCCTGACCAGCCTGCTGCTCCCCTCAGCAGTTTACTTTGTTGTTCTATCTGTTGTACTCCCCACTCTGTCTCTGGTGAATCCTCTCACTGCCCCTGCTCCTCTGGCTTGCACCCAGTTCTGTATGCACAAATAAATAAACCTTAAAAAAAGACCAAATATCATCTTAGTATTCAGATGGTATTTACACTAAATTAAATCTATATTTTAATGCAAGATAAAAATGTGGCTGATTGGCCCTCCCTGGTGGCGCAGCGGGTTAAAGCACTGCACTGAGAAGCTAAAGCCACTTCCGCATGAGTTCGATTCCCGCCTGCCCTGGAGGTGACCACATGGTGTGGCAGACCTCTCCTGACCCACCCGCTGCTCCCCTCAGCAGTGTACTTCGTCGATCTGCCTGTTCTGCTCCCCACTCTGTCTCTGGTGAAGCCTCTCACCGCCCCGAGCCTCTGGCCTGTACCCCAGTTCTGTATGCATAAATAAATAAATCTTTAAAAAAAAATTTAAAATAAAAAAAAATGTGGCTGATTGATTAAGTTAGTCCTGGAAAATAAGTTTTCAGCATAAAGTTATATAAATCTCACAATAGTCAATGAAATTTCCTTAGATTCCCTAGATGTAGTAATCTGCCTTGGTTTAAAAAAAGCTCGAGCTCACTCCATGATTTTGTCTATATCTTTTTTCCTCTTGATGAAAATATTCAGATGACTAATAAGAGGTACAGTGACCCATTTGAGAATGGCATGATTTAGCATGGCATTGACACAATTAATGATCTTGTCTCTCTAGCAAAGCACAGAATTAAAATTGACCTTGGCTTCAATTGATTTACATTTTAATTTTTTTATTTGGTTACAGGTGGAAAATTGGACATGCACTAATAGCCATCTGGCCTGGCCTGTCTCTGTATCCTGACCACTCACTACCTGGGTTTGCTCACTGACCCTCTCCTTTCTCTCATAATTGCCTCAGACTCCCTGAGTCAAAGCCTAGCACAGCCTCAGCTGTGGTGCTGCCCAGTCTGGGCTGTCCTGCCCAGCAACAGTCATTCACCTGTATGAACCTGTCACTCACTCCCCATGCCTGATCACACCCAGCAGCCTCTGCCAGTTCCTGCTACCTATTTCTTAACCTGTGACTCAATAACCCCATGGTGTCTTCTGCCATCACATTTTCTCCTGCACTCTTGCTCTCTGCTTTTCTTGGCAGCTGTGGGTTCAGTGGTGGTACTTGCCTGCTCCCACATACTACAAAGTCAAATCACAGTTAACTCTTGACTACACAGTATTTTTAGTCCTTCTTCCCACCTTTTGCGTGGTTCTGGCTCATGAGCTTCCTGGGATTCCCATCTTGGCTTTCTAATCTCTCTTTGAGAATTCTTTCCCTCTTGCAGTCTCAGGAATATTCCACCTCCCTGCTCTAGGAACTGATAGTAGTGGTGATGCCTCCTGCTTTGTGGTGTCTTGTTGTTACTGCCTTTGAGCTGAGCCAGCTCAAGTAGGTCTCCTGTCCACCTGGATTCATGTGGGTGCTCTCATGACCTACACAATTGCAGCACTTTTTGGACAGGTTGATAACACTTCCTCTGTTCCCCTGCCTAGTATTTAAGGCAAAATACACCTACAGATCAGGGCAGATGTGACTGAAAGGTAAGTGAAAAAAAACAAAAACAAAAACTTAGCTGTGCAAAAAGAGTTCTGGAAAAAAGAGGTGGGATGAGGAAATCTATGTGGAGTGAAGGGTAGGAGTAAGAATAAATAGGAGTGAAAATGAAAGACTGAGTGGGGGGTATGAGTATGAGATTGATTATTAAGAGAGCTATGTTAACAGTAATTTCACCTATCCAGCATTTGACTGCCAACATTTCGCACACACTTAATGGGCACAGTTTATTTTATTTTAAAGATTTAGTGGACACAGTTTAATAGCATGTTTGATTTAAAAAATCCTGGTGGCGCAGAGGGTTAAAGCGCAGCATTAAGAAGCTAAAGCTACTTCCGTATGAGTTTGATTCCCGCCTGCCCTGGAGGTGACCACATGGCATGG